TGAAAGAGCAATATAATAGTCCTTGTGTTAGTCATAGCTCATAATACACACCACCCTACCCCACTGTTTAGCTTGAAAGTACTCTAAAATATATATTATCATAATTATAGTTAGCGTAGGCCGATATATATATTATTAGGCCCTTATTTTGTATTATCTTTCTGTCTGTTATTGCCGTCCCTCTCTCAGTAATTGCACCCTCTCTTTTAAAAAAAATCTTTCTCTAATTTTTTTGTGTGAGTATGCCCTTGTCTGTCTGTCTGTCTGTCTGTCTGTCTGTCTGTCTGTCTGTCTGTCCGACGAGGTATTCCCCATAAATAGCACCAGCTCATATTTGGGAATTTCCTGTTGACGAGAATAGTCTTTATGCAAGCGCGCCCTCTATCGGCGGAAGCTGTTTCTAAAAATACCACGGGAAAAGTTGGGAGGAGTGGAGGGTGTGGAAAAAGACTCGTGGTTTTTTTTTCTCCTCAGATATTTGAAAAAAATTCACTACAATTGTTGCTGTAAATGTCAAAGAGGTCACTCTCAGTCACGCGAAATAGAAATGTATAGGTACATGGATAATAGCAGGTCGTTTTAAGACTATTCCAACGTTTGCTGGCGTTACACTTTCTGGAAAGAACGGAGTCTCTACCGGGTATTTCTGATTTACGAAAATATCTCCTTGGTGGGAGATTCTCAATCTCAAAATAGCACACCGTGTCAGAGCCGCCAGTTTACCTTGTGCACGAAAGTGGAGGTTGGCGGTGAGGTGGTCGTCATCCCAAAGCTTGGCCTATTTTGTCCATAGCATTTGATCGTCTCTGTTTGTTGGACATTTCAAGGAACGATTTTGGGTAAGATTGAACGGTACCGATTGAACTTTGGTGGACCCAACACTGAACGGCTAGATCTCTAGATTCTAGATTCGGTAATTGTTTACTTTTTCAATTTTCGCGTTGGAGGACTTCCGTAACGAGGGACCACTCTTCTGATCAATGGCATGGCCATCAAAATCAGTACGGAAGGTCTAAACTTTAGACTAAAGCCAGTAACCTATGTTTCTAGACCTAGATCTAGACCCTACTACAAATGATGAAATTGCAGTGGTTTATATACTCTTAATGATAATGGCAATGGTTGGTAGTGTCAATTACATGCCGTTAAACGTAGAAGATGCATCTTTCTGATTGGCTGCTAGATCTAGATCAAGTAGATCTAGATCTAGTCTAGATTCTAGATCTAGACAATCTAGTTTTAATCTAGAATAGACTAGAATATAATATAGTCTAGATTAGTACTGTGATGTCATCACTTCCTGGGATACCCACATGGAACGACATGTTTTCGGTAACATTTCATATTTCTTAGATCTAAGATCTAGAATCTAGATTAGATCTAGAATATAGATCGAAATCTAGAATATAGATCGAGATTCTAGATGTAGATCTAGTAGGCCTACTTGGACGTGATGGAAGATCGCTGAGATCTAGATCTAGATTCTAGATAATATAGATCTAGATCTTTAAATCTAGATCTAGATCTATCTCTCTAGATCGTTGATGCTCAGAACTGTAAGATTAAGAACGTACGCTAGCGCTGATGCTTGAAATTGAAACACGGTAAACACAAAGACAATAAACTGCACGAAATTTGCCGTAAAGACGCTGGAGGATTAGATCTAGATCTAGATTTAGATCTACCCC